TACCATCACATACAAACTTCAACCTCTTGTGTTCAAGAATACTTTTGAGTTTTACCTTGTAAGGGACAAATGAACACCAGAAACAAAAAGTTGCAGGCTTCTCTGCAAACCCACGAGCTTCATACAAAAAACCTGCAACAGGGCATTTTCCTTTAGTACATGAAAACAGGATTTCACATGTGTTTTTAGGGATAAAATGCCCCTTGGACATAAGGGCAGAGCAGTCTTCCTTGCACATGCAGTTGCAAGTAATGGCAAGATAATAACTTGTTATTAAGACTCAAATCTGGAAGGATATCCAGGCAATGCATGGAGTAAGAAGGGCCCTCTGTGGCCATAGGAAGAAATTTCAATTTCTGAATTTCATTCAGTCCCCCTTGTGTTGATTTTGTCTCTTCAACTGTGAATCAAACAGAAACAGTCCAGCACATTAATCTCTAGCTATTGCAGTTTTCTGTTCACTTGAAAGTAACAGCAGCCAAACAAAAGATTAATTATCTTGGAATCCTGCTTACATTTTCCAATATATTTGTCTGTCCTTAATCCCATTTCAGTTTCTTAATTATCCCAATATTTTTAGACATCTGAATAATGAGCTATGTTGGGCAGCTGGATGCACTGCATATTGAATATATTTAAAGACATACTGAATAATATGGAGAAGTGGTCAGTCAGTACAAACTGCAACAGTTAAGCACAATGGAGGTACTGCTGCACACACTGTAACATCTCTGAGGAATGCAAGAAACAGAGACAATGCTGGAATTTCAGATGGCCTGCATTTGCCCCCCACCTATACCCACTGATGAGCAATGTATAAAAAGCCAGGGGAGGTGCCCAGAAAATCTTATCACTTTTTGTTGATGCTGTTCAGGATGCTGCAAACACAGACTGGCAAAGCTAAGCTCAGTTTTACTAAGCTGCTAATTGGAAAAGACCCTAAATAAGCTACATGGAGTTTAGACTTTTGAGGGAGAGCTAAACTGCAGGGAAGGATGGCACTTTGACAGGTGACTGACAGCCTGGGCATTATTAATAACCTTTAAGTCAATTCAGTGTCAAATGGGATACTGTTACCCATCTGAAAACTTTCCAACTATACTGGAAATAGGTGCATTTTCCTTAAAATACAGGACTTTAGACTAAATAATCCTCAAAGATTTGCAGGAACCCTGCAGACCTTTTCAATAATAGCAATACCTGACCCATCTTCCAACTCTTCTAGGAACAAGAACATGCAGATACTCTAAACCAGGTCACCTTACAACATATACCTGTGCTCAGATAAGCTTATTCATTAGGAGTCCTTCAGTCCTGAATCAGGATTTCAAAGTAAAACATGGCAAATACTTTCTAGCTAGACATACAGAACTCACTTCCACTCCTCTTAACTAAACACAAGCACCTCACTACTTGGTTATACAACTGACCTTGCACAGGCTGGAGAAAGCTCATCACCAGCTGGCCACAGCTCTTTATTAAGGTTCCCTCCACAGGAATTAGTGGTCTGGAAAACCCGGCTAGGCAGGGGGTATTCACCATTTTAATATAAGGGTTTATACTCAGATTGACCTGTCACATTAAACACCAATACTAGCAAACAGGAGACATCACTGATTTTCAATGTGTAGTTTTTTGGGTGTTTTGTTGGGTTTTGGTTGGTTGGTTGGTTTGTTCCACAAACCCAGGCTCTTTTGTAATATACTGTCTTCATTCTTTCAGGTTTAGGGTGTTTTTTTTTTCCTTCAAAACCGTGGGGAAAAATGAATGGCCCAGCAGATTCAAGCCCACTCTTCAATTGCTCAAATCAATCAAATTTTGCTCTGGAAACATCAGAGCAATGTGGCAAAGAGACACACATGGAGAACATCCTTTTTGCCACTTTCTACTTCCTGGATTTCATCCTGGCTTTTGCTGGCAATGCCCTGGCTCTTTGGCTCTTCGTTCGGGACCAGAAGTCAGGCACACCCGCCAACATTTTCCTGATGCATCTTGCTGTGGCTGACCTGTCCTTTGTGCTGGTACTTCCCACCCGGCTAGTGTACCATTTTTCTGGTAACCACTGGCCATTTGGTGAGATCCCCTGCAGACTCACCGGCTTCCTTTTCTACCTCAACATGTATGCCAGTATCTACTTCCTCATGTGCATCAGCATCGACCGCTTCCTGGCCATCGTGCACCCTGTGAAGTCCATCAAGCTCCGCAGGTCCCGATACGCCCACGTGGCATGTGCCTTTCTGTGGGTCATTGTTGGGGTGGCAATGGCACCTCTGCTGCTCAGTGTGCAGACAGTCCAGATGAAGAACACAACCGTCTGCCTGCAGCTCTACAGAGAAAAGGCCTCACGTCACGCCCTCGTGTCCTTAGCAGTGGCGTTCACCTTCCCCTTTGTTACCACAGTGACTTGCTACTTACTCATCATCCGAAGCCTGAAGAGTGGGAACAGAGTTGAGAAACACCTGAAGGAGAAAGCTGTCAAAATGATTATCATGGTCCTGATGATCTTTCTGATTTGCTTTGTACCTTATCACGTCAACCGCTACATTTATATCCTCCATTACAACGGGACCAGGGCTTCCTGTGACACACAGCGTATCCTGGCCCTCAGCAACCGTGTCACCTCCTGCCTCACCAGTCTCAACGGGGCCTTGGACCCAGTCATGTATTTTTTTGTAGCTGAGAAATTCCGCGAGGCCTTGTGCAATCTGTTTTGCATTAAAAAGGCTGTAATGCTGCCTCAAACCTACGAGGGTAAGACAAATGAAAGCTCACTAAGTGCTAAATCTGAACTGTGAACACGACTCTTGTCACTGCTTTGACTTAAGGACACTCTTCCACCAAAGGAGCTGAGAGCACAAATAGGTAGTGAGACAGTCCACACAGAGTCAAACTCATCCCAAGAAGGGAAGTTCTGTTGGTTTTGTGGGACTGCAACTAGCAAGAACTCCTCTGACAACAGAGATCACATGTGCTTGTCTTACTGAAACCGCAGACAGAAAGACAGTTCTACTGATTTTCAAGATGCGTGAAACTGAGGGATGAGCACTTAGGAATAAGGAAAGGGGTAAAGAGAAAAATGGACCTTTTTTGATTTTTTTCAAAGAACTTAATCCCAAAGCACTCAGTAACGACTCTTCTTCTGCACAATGCACACAGCCTTCTTTAAAATTTCGTATTGTGCCAGCAGTAGAGATCCACTGCTGAGACAGACCTGCCTGATGAGAAACAATGCCCCAGCACATCTTGCCCAAGTCTCCAAAATCAAAGCATTTATATATAGTGGAGAGAAAATTGGTACTAAATGATGATAAGAGAAAAAAAAAAAAAAAAAAAAAAAATCTGCAATGAACCTAGCCTGGACTGGAATTAAGACAAGGACTTACAATGCAGAGGGGTTTAATTTTTCCCAGCGTTCAGAGCTGGAGATGAGCACAAAACTTCTCACTACCTTCGCTATCTACACTCTGCATGGTCTCAAAGCTGCAGACAGCAGCTGGACAACATTAATACACTGCCTCTTTTATGCAGTTCCCTGCAAAACCCCAGATATCCTCATAACCCTCAAACTGAGGGGTGGAAAAGGGCTGTTTAGGAATACAGCATTCATGTTTGCTACAGAGTGAATTGTAAAAGTATGAACCCAAATGGCAGAAGTGAAGAAAAGTAAGTGCTTGAAGAAGTGAAGGCTACTCGGTCCAGAAGAGACTCCTATCTTTAAGATGGTTTACAACTTTTTGCGTGACTTATCTAGCAAGACTATTCCTTCCCTGTGGATAATGCAGGGATTATCTTTATTTTCACTAATACAAACTGCATCATGCAGAATATGCTTGGAAATGACAGGCAGACTAGAGAATACCAGGTACTGTAAGAAGGGTGAAAAAGAATGCAAGAGTTTCCAATAATATTTAGTAGAACATCGTTTCAGTGCTAAGGAGAGAAATATTTTAGGAAATCACGTGACAGGTGAAATACATTTTTATAGCTCTTTACCACTGTAGATTTGGCCCACAAATGATGAAGTCAAACATACTTTATCTTGCTTGAACTGCTTCAGTCCTAACCACTTTCCCAAAACAGTGCTATCCCAACAGCCCATTCTAACAAGCTTAGGTCAAAGAAAAATCAATTATGCCCAGCTCCAGCTGGCACAAAGGCACAGAAGTTGCATACGGAAAGGAAGAGGGAGTTGAGAGCACTCCCTGCTGAACAGGATACAAGTATATAACCTTTCCTTCCTTTCTTCACCATTTACTTAGTGAAAATGTAAACTCTAGGATAAACTACTTGGCTTTCCTCATGACATATGAAAGCTTAAAATTAACTCTGAATTGTGCACTGTCTGCTAACTGCTGGATTGTTTTATTTTCTTACCATGGAATGTTTTTGTATAAGCTCTCTTTTGTGTTTTTATTTCTTGCTTTTTAATTAAATGTATCAATTGACATCTATGACTCGTTTTTATATTTCTGTATATAAAATGAATGATTTCTGAAGCCCAGTGAAATCACATGCTGAACAGACTGCTGTGATCATCATGTTATTCTCTTGTCCTTTTTCTATATCCTTATTTCCTGCTCAGCAGCTTACTTGATAAACAGCCTGACCGGGATCACATAATTCCTTTTTCTCATGTACTATTCAGCTTTCTGCCTGAAATCCCTTTCTTTTCCAGAACCCACCCACTATCTACTAAAATTTGAGTTCCTACATATTTCACTGGATGAAGAACACTGTTCTTCATTCCATTTCCCATATAAAAGGTTATTCCTTAAAGCTTCTCCTGTACCTTTCCAAGCTTTCCCTCCATGTACAACTAACTGACCACTCTCAGCATCTCACTGCTGTATCAATAACACACTGATAAAACTTTCCAAGCTCCTTCTCTGTCTTTCCAAGCTCCTTCTCTGTCTTTCCAAGCTCCTTCTCTGTCTTTCCAAGCTCCTTCTCTGTCTTTCCAAGCTCCTTCTCTGTCTTTCCAAGCTCCTTCTCTACCTTACCTGCCAGCATTCTTCACAAAGCCCAGGTCAGCAAGGGTGACATCGCAGAGCTCACAGCGGAAACACTCTGGGTGCCAGTTGTTGTTCATTGCCTTGATAACACGCCCGATAATGAACTCACCTGCAAAAGGAAAGCAACAGCGTGAGATGCATCAGAAAACAGTCATCAGAATCTACTGCCTTCGTAATCCTTTCATCACTTCAATTCCACAAGTACTATTACAGTCTAACAAAGCAGTATCATGCTTTGTTTCCATAGAGAGCTCCTGCTCCTTTAAATGACCTCAACAATCCCAGCCCAGGGCTGGATGTCCCAGCAATGCTGGGAGGTTTGCACAGTCCTGTAGCTGTTACCCCACGGTGTTGACACGTGCCCCATCTTACCACATTCCCCACAGCAAGGAGCAAACAGCATCTGAAAGTCATGCTCACAGTACTTCCGACCTTCGAACTGCGAACAAAACAAGAGAGGAGGAGCCCTCGTGAATAACTGAATGACTTTTTAAATGGGTTCACCTATTTCAGTTGCCAAATGGAAAAGTTTGGTGCAAAATGTCTAAGAATAAAGACAAAAATTCACTCAAGTTTAATGAAACAGTAAGGCCAGGTTGGAGTGGGTTTTGAACAACCTGGTCTAGTGGAAGGCATCCCTGCCCATGGCAGCAGGTTGGAACAAGATGGTCTGAAAGGTCCCTTCCAACCCAAACCATTCTATGATTCTGTGATGATTAAGAAACACTTTTAGTTTTCTTTCTGAAATGTCACATTCCCAAAGAGCAGCTTTTGCTGTTACTGAGGGAATATGCGAGGAGAGAAAAAGGGAAATTAAGTTGGAAGCTCCTCAAAAAAATTGGCAACAGAGGTTTAGGGCTAAGAAATTAAACATGCAAGAAAGCTGATAATTCTATTTTCTGCCAGAATCTTCACCTAATTCCTTCCATTTTAACGGAGCTATTTCTCTTATCTTCCACACAGTCTGAGAATTCACCTCATAAAAGAGTCCCTCCGGGAACTGCCGAAAGCACTGGGCACAGACGAAGCAGTTCTCGTGGTAGAGCTCCCCGTTGCTGTTCACAATCCTCTCGGCAGGATTGAAGCGCGCCTGGCAGCGCTCACACACTGCGTTGGCCAGAGCATCAGACATGTTACTGCCAGGAAGACAAGAGTAGGAACGTGAGCGATGCCACAGCCGGGTCAGCCAAGTTTCCCCAACACCTCCAAACTCAACATTCCCTCCTGCCGCTTTAAACTCCCTTTAACGTGGAAAGAAAAGATCGAGGTGTCAATTCATCACTGACATCGGCTGGAAATAACATTCGAGCAACTCACATGCCACAGATGAGGTCGTGTGGCAGACTTACCTGTTGCACACCTCTGGATACTTCACTGGTCTTTCACCCCACTGTGTCATCCTGCTAATATTCACAGTTTTAAATAAACTAGCAGCTTGGAGAGCAGCAAACCCAATGGTTCTGACTTCTTTGGATTTCCAGTCTCAGTACGTACACCTCTGAGGATTTTCTGATGTGCACTAAGCACGCACATCCCACTGCAGTCTCCCCTTCACTGCAGGGATTAGCAGGGCACTTTCCCCTCTACACATCCTGTCTTCCTGCCAAATTAACTGAAACTCTCCAAGTGTTACAAAGGTATGGGAAGACAGAAGTACCTCTGGATGGCCTGGTCAATACATCAGCTTCATTTGCTCAGAAAGTGAGGCTAAAAACCCCCCAAAGCCACACTCACAAAACACACAATGAGCATTTCCTCTATCTCCCCTAAAATATGGAACGACCCTGACCTCTTTCACAAAATTTTCATGCTTGCCATGATGCTAACCTAAGTTAATGCAGTTTTAAAATCATGTATCACGCGTCCAAAGGGGGAGGGAAAAATTATAAGGCAAGTCTCAGTTTCTTGCTGCAATGTAATTTTTTTTTAACCAACAGGCTACATCCAATAACATAAAAATTCAACATTGTTGCACTTTCAGATATAGAAAAACTATTTTATGCCTTCTGGGCACCTTTCAAAATCTGTGATAGAAAAGACTGCAGTTTTATAGATGAGAATATGAAAATTTTCCAGCATGTTAAAAATCTGTGAACTATTTGTATAGTACTTTTCCTGACGTATGTGACGTAAGCATAAATAGAAAGATGGCTTGGTTTAAAAGGTTTTTTTTCTTTTTATATTCAAAGGTACTCTGAACTGAATTTTCATTGTTAGTGTTATTCTACAACCCAATATGCTACTTTCCACACCTTTTCATGGAAAACAGTAATTCAAAAAGCACATTCCAGCAGCGGAAGATTCTCTTTCCTCTGGTCTCCCCCCCTCAAAACACGCCACTGTCTGTATTCCAGGGCTTTGTACTATGAGCACAACTGGACTGAGTAGGCAGCAGCCTCATATTCCTGAGGCAACAAAGCCAGCCCTGCACTCCAGCTGGCTCAGCTGAGCCAAGTGTCTCCCATCTGCAGCCTGCACAAACATCCAACACTGTGACCTGGAACGACCGCTCTCAGTAAAAGGAGACTTTCTTTCTACTGCTTCAATTCCAAGAGATGCAAAAACCAAGGGAGACTATCATAATTTCAAGAATGGAACACCAATTTAGCAGAAATCTGTTATAGCTTGTTTCCTTACGGCAGTATGAAGGAGTTTTAAAAATAGACATGGAGCAGAATTACGGACAAGCAGGAAATCCTGTAATTTCATAAACTAGAGGTCATAGGTTAAAGAAACATTTTTATCCTGACACAGTACCAAAGGAATAGGTCAGCACAAAAACACCAGTGTTTGCAGCAAAGCTGAGAGATTAATCAGCTTGGTTTTCGGTCACCATTCTCTGTTACACCACGTAAACGTGTGCCAGGACTTGAAAATATAATCTTCCCATCAAGTACTTTTTCCCCTCTTGAAAAATTTGCTTCCAGAATTCCAAGACTTGAGCCAGCCAACAGCCATGATTAAAAAAGACCCATGTCAACGTAGTGTAAAAACTCATCTGGCAAGAAAACCAGGCAAGCCAGTAGGTATTACACTCTACATGTTAACAACAAAGCACCATCTAAGGTTGTGTTTGATGTGTTTCTGCTTTATTGACATGAAATCAATGTTTCTAAAAATCCTGGTTTCCTTTCTTTTTCCTTTCTCCAAAGGGACCCATCAGTGCCACTACCAACTTGGGGGATGAGCTGTGCAAGACCAGAGCTGCCACCTCCAAAACAGCAGTTCTCAACCATTTCAGCCTCCAGCCTGCACAACCACATTGCTGTGTGAAACACAGCACAGTTCACCCAACAGACCAGGGATATGCTGGTTCCAGGAGAGATCCCCATGAAAGTCCCACGGCTGTGCTGGCAGGACGCTGCTGTTGATGCTGACAAGCTTTCCTCCAAGGCAGAAGATGATTGTGATGCTGTCTGAGCTGTCCACTCGAATGAGCTAACCAGTGTGACTTATTACTCATACAAAAGAAACTGTAAGCCCAGGAAAATTTAAAATAAGAGAACCAGTACACAAAGTAACACAGTTCTCTGCTGCAGCTAAAAACCAACTAAAATTTGATGGGAAGAGCCATACTACTGGGAATCAACTAAATCTCACATCAGCTCCTGATCAGTGTGTCACCTGCAATACAAACCAGCAGCAGCTCTTTGACAATCACAGCTCGAGTTGTACTTCCCTGCTCTCTTTCCACTCCTAAGTTTACACTCCTTTCCACTTAAGACACTCTATTGTTTTACACTCAAGCTAAAATCTGCCAGTTCAGCGTTGCCCTAAAGACATGACTTGGCATTTATTCAGAAGTTTAACATCTGCCAGTTACTTAATTTCTCTCAAGTACACACCCCTGCGTGTCCTCTTCCTTGGGCAAAACCAAGCATTTCATCAGCTAGCTCGAGGTTAAAATTAACCAAGGCTGGAAGGAAGAGGGAGCACAGTGCTAATTCAGAGCACTTTTATGCTTCAGTTTACTCCACTGCTGCAAAAACACTGCTGCCAGCAGCACGGGGAGACAAAGGGCAACACAAACCCCATCCTTCGGATGGTGATGTACCAGGAGTGACCACTAAAGTTTGACTTGCTGTGTCAGTTATGAGATACTTAAGAGCTAAATCTTTCCCACAAAGGACAGCCCCCAATCCAGAGTGCTGCTTCTGTTCTGTTTGCTCACTGATTTTTTGCTACTCAGTAAAATAAAGAATCTTGCTCTGTTTTAACAATAAGCTGGTGACACAAAGACAGGAAAGGCTATTAAAACATGATGAGATCAACATCCTGAAGTTATCCTGTCCTGCACAAGCTCAAAAAACACCAATTCTCAAACAATGCTCTTTCCAATCTTTCACCATTATGTGCCACATCTTTAAAAAACTATCTTTGTCAAAGTACCTAATTTAGAGAAATTAGCTTTTTACCATTATAACTAGCTTTCTCACCCTTTGATTTCTCACAAGTATTTACTATAAATTGATCTCAAATGCAAAGGAAAAAAAAAAGAAAAACAACAATTCCTTATTTACAAGAAGTATAATAATTTAGCATTAATTAGGAGACCCATTCTGTGCCACAGGTACAAGTGCTATAAGAATATTTGAAAGCATTTTACCTTCTATCATTGAAGTCAAAATTACCTCCTTTTTTAAAACATTTGTTCATAGGGACCTAGCACTGGTAACAGACTGAGGAAAAAGAAGTAAATTTATTAATTGCATGCTAAGACAGTAGAAGAGAAGCTCCAGCCTTTGCATTAGTAGAATTCATTATCTGAAATGTGGCTGCAAGACAAAATTAACCAAAACTAGACAAGCAGAAGAGACGGACAGTCTCAGACTTCGCCAGGTTCAAGAGAGGAACTGCAGGAGCAAGAAGTGCTGCTGTCAGAAAAGCCCAGCAAAGTGAAAAGTCAAAACCAAAAGAGCTATCATCACTTGCACATGTGATAGTTGTCAGCAGTCAAGACAAATATCAGAGCACTCCAGTCGAGGAGGTTCTTCCCACCCCCACAGCACGGCTGAGAATTTGTGGCTTCAAGTCCTCAATGTTGACAAAGACAAAAGGAAAATCTGCTGGGACAATATCAGACCTCATGATTAATTTCACAGATAATGACTAATGCAAAGACAAAAGAAAGAGGAAGGGTATCAGGTCATGAACTTGAGCTGAAAACCAGCCCTCAACTACCCTTATCATTCCAAAATCGCTTTGCTGCTATTGACTTCTATCTGGACAACTTTCCCAAACTGAATTAACTTGTTTAAGATTATTATTAAACATGTCATAAAACGTTAGGAAAAAAAATTCCTGTTTGTTCAATGTTTGATTTGTTGCTTATTTGTTAAACTATGTGCATAACTTCACATTTTCAGCATTTCTCCTCCTGCTTGCAGTAAATTTTCAGTTCATTCTGATTAAGTATTTTTGCATTGGCTAAACAAGAAATTAACAGTGTTTCTCAAAGAGTATCTTCCTTGAACATGCAGCCCTCAAACTCTCAATGAAACAAACATTTCTTGTTCCTATTCAGAACATAGGGATAACCAAAATTAAGAAAAACATACAAATGCAACTTATGGTCACAATATGGAAAAAAACCCCAGTCTCTCCTTGGCCTACCAGCAACAACAATTTGCTATTAGTAAAAGCCAGGGGGTTAAAAAAGATTCCACATATGTCAGCTAAGACCAGAGTACAATGTCGATGCTTGGGAAGCCACTATCAGGCAGGCCTTTGAGAACAGCAGCATGGAAGTCTGTTGATATTATTATCAGGTATGTACCACTTCTCCCAGAATGTCTATTTGATAAACAGCTCCCACCAGACAGTTAATCTTTCTCTTCTTCACTTCAGTTCTCTCAAAGGAGCTTAAATGTGATTTTTGTTTACCAGCACTGATAACACAAATCATTCCCATTGTGTTCATCAATTATCACCAACTAGCAGCAGTACTTTTCGATTACTCTCATTTGCCTGAAGAAAGGTCATAAACTATCAGGACCCATCAGGAAGGAGAAGCAAAAATTATCAGTAGCTCAAAAACCGTGGATAAAATACAAGTCGGGAGACAAATTTCTCAAATGGAAAATAATCTTCAGCACAGTCACCTGCTCAGTAAAACCAAACATGTTTGCTTTATGCT